AGAAGGACTTGGCTTCACTTGGCGTTTCCAATTGGCGTCAGTTGGCACAGAGGAGAAACGACTGGCGTGCTTTGCTGAACTCGGCCAAAATCGCTTAGGCGGTTACAGCGCCAAAAAAGAAGAAGAAGAACAGTCCTAGGGGTGAGAGCATAAAAATTCCGACTTTACGTTTTCACATGCATTTTTGGATGACCCTAACGTACATTCATACATATAGCAGCAATTAATTTCATTTAAAGAAATGGCGTGTCGTCCACGCCGTAGCGTATGTAGCTCATATTTTTAGGCGCAATATTTAACTTTTCTGGCGGGGCGACATCTACCTCTAGTGTTTTTCTAATTGTATGTCTTTGATATGATACCTACGACGAAGTTGATATCCAGACTAGATTTGCCATAAATACCTTTGCTATATCTATAGTATAAATGGTGGTCTGGACCAGGGTTGTTGCGAATATTATATCGAAATAAAAGTCCTTTCGGGATAATAAATAAACGGCCTGTCCAAATTAAAAAAATTTGGTATCATATGAAAAAGGACTGAAATAGCTTTTAAACAGAATTACCGAACAACCTCTATTTATATATTTTTTATAATTTAATACTAAAGAAAAGCATATACCTGCCATAAGGTTTGTTCTATGGTTATTAATTAACATTTTTTGTTGAAATATTTTTCAGTATGTGGCTTTCCTCGTTTAGACATTTCAGTTTTAAAGCTGTTTTAGTTCCCTTTCATTTGATACCGAACTTGTTTAATTTGGATAAGCGGTTTGTTTATTATCCGGAAAAGATTTTTATTTCGGAATAATATTCGCAACAACCCTGGTCTGGACACACAACATTGCAAGTTGATAAAAGCGTTGTAATAATAATAAATAAATAATATAAAAAAAACTTTTTAATATACAACGCTTTTATAAATGGACTAAAAAGTAGAAAATAATACTTCTCAGTCCCATAGAATTTGTTTTGATAACTTTTGATTTTGAAATTTTAGCAAAAGTCATTATAAACAAT